CCCCGCAGCGGCCGCGAACGGGTGCTTGCCCCCGGCTGTCGCCACCTTCACCTCGAGCCACCCCAAACCCTCCCCCAGCGCGGGCACTGCGGGCCTGATGGAAGTGCTGCTTGCTAATGTAATCACGTATTTTGCCCTTTTTTGCTTACTTGCTCTCAGAACCGGTGTAAGTCCTCTACGGGCCTTCCGCTGCCAAAAGTTAGATGCAATTTGGTGCCCACCCCTGAGTATGTGACTGCTGAGGAAAAAAAATCGGAAAAAACCTCCCTGTGCTGCATGGTATGCAAAGTGTGCAAATAAACGCTATCAGCTTGAGAGTTTATACCAAAAAAGAGCAGAAAGAGCCCTGTCAAATACTACCTGAGGTATCAAATGCCACCTCAGTTTTCCCCTGATGCTCTGAAAGCACCCAAATCTTTGCCCACTTAACTGTCCCACTGACAATGTGAAACTTGTCCAATTTATTTAATCGCTGACATGCCAGCTCATCTCTGCTTGAAAACCTGGTTGTCCCTCCTCCCTCCCTCAGCTTTGTCTTATTGACAAGACCAAAACACGTTTCATCAGCCCAAACAGGGCAGTTAAAAATAAAATAAAAGTGGCAGGCAAAAGAAGGCTTTGCTTAAAAAGGGAGTTGAAAATAGGAATTGATAGAAAGATGGGGACTAGAGAAAGATGAAAGTATTTCTATGAAGAAAGAGATACTACATTCTTTGGCTGACCTACATCCTCCTGCCTGGATTTATGAAAAAGAAGGGGAAAAAACGTTGAATTTGCCTTCCCTCTTGCCCTTCTACTACAGTGTGTAAATATGACTTGCTCTTATTTTGCACTGAAAAAATTATGAGTTTTTGGAACACATGACAGTCCTGGGACTTCACCAAATCTCTGCTCTAATAATATATGCAAGCATAGTTCTTGGGTGTAGGTACACAGGTTGAAGGAAAAAGCTCAGCAGAGTTTTGAACTTCTGCATAGCCTTGACTATGCAGATTGTGGTGGGTCTCTTAAGTGTTTAACCTGGTGGACTAAAGGTGTATTGATGAGGAATATCTTCCTGTCACCCATGCTTAAGCTAGTATTTGGTTATGTACTGATTATATACTGAAATCTACAGGGTAACTTATATGAATAGCTGGCATATCTCAGCTATGTATCTTGTGGTATCGTGTCTCAGGCTTGCAGTATTAATTGTACAGTAAATGTAGACTGAATAGTATGCAATAATTCTGACCAGGTTAGCTGGGGGAAAAATACCTTTCTGTTCATGCAGTCAATCTGCTGCTTTTGCAAAAACAGCTGGCACTGAGAAATACTTTAGGATATCATACGAGATGCAGGCAAACACAAAGGGCTCAGTCACCTGCTGGTAGACAATCTTTCTCAGTTAGAACATCACACCTAAGGATCTCACTGATAGATAGTTACTGGGGACAGAGATAGAGATGAAAACCTACAATGAAGTGGATGTGATTTAAAAAAAAAAAGAAAAAAAAAGGGCATATAAACCTGAAGGCATTAATAGCTAGACTGTCGCTTTAGGCAGACCCGAATTTGAGATGAATTAAGCTATGTGTAACACCTGATGGCAAGAAAATAACAAACCATTCCATGATTTCTTCTCTACTCTTGCTTTTCTTAGGGAGTGAATAAATGGGGAAGTAGAGTTAGTAACTCAGATTTAGCTTTCCCCTCAGTGGCCAACAGTAGTCTTTTCTCAGGGAGCCTACTGGGCTTTGGCAATTTCTTCTTATTTTTCCAGGTGAAGCCCAGAAGTCCTCAGATGCACGGTGCTCACTTAGCATGCCACCTATGGTCTGGGCAGTCTGCATGTGGACAGGCACATTTTACATAGGACTGAAGTCACCAATTAACCGTAAAACATCCATATATCCATCCGTGCCAACTGAAGTCTTAGGGCAGCATAGAATTTGGCTTAGCCCATTTAGGGAAGGCAACACAATGTGATTTGGATTCCAGTGGTGAAATTCTTACCGACATCAGCAGGGGAATGATTTGCTGTTCTCTATGACTGCAGTCAGAAATGAATCCCTGATTGGCAGCCATCAAGGAGCTGTGTTTTTACACAGAAAGGAAGTATTCTGTAAAACTGAGTTTTAATTGTTACTTGAGATATTTCCAGTGTGAATAGGCTATACAGTCATTTCAGAGAAATGCTCTTATTTCCGTTCTATTAGAGCAGTATTTTTGCTTACCTTGGGGCACAAACTTTTCTGAAATAAAGTTTCTCAAGGAAAGATCTCACCAATTAGTTCTCTGATATTAAGGAGGGGCATAAACCTATAAGATTTTAATAACTATTTAAAGGAAATGCTTTTCATTAAGGAAAAGCTGGAAGATTATTATGCTAATAGTCTGGAGGGTGCTGTTCCATGTAGAATTCCCAGAGGTATTAATGGAGGTTTTGTGCTAAGTCAGCAGTAATTTTAGGTAGTGGATTGCTACCCAGCAGGATCATAATCCTCCTGCATTTACTTAGGCAAACCTTGTCTTTGAAATGCTTTTGAAATTTCAGCAGGAGTCATGCCTGAATAATATTACGGGATCGGGCTTCAAATGTAAGGGCAACAGATTTTAAATATATTAGGACAGATCTTCTCCTAATCCTGTGATATAGAACGTGGGTTAGAGGAGGAAAGAGCTGTAGCTTGAGCTTGTTAATTTTTGTCTTACCCTCCGTGGACTGATTGCTCCACATGTTCTTCTGCTGTTTCATTCTCAGGGAGAGCTCTGTTGCTTACACCAGGCTGCTGCAAAGATGGGGCCCCTGGAAGCAGCAGGTGAAGAGAACCAGACAGATGAAATGAAGATGGAGCTGTTCACCAAGCTGTACTTGCCCAGATACACCACACCGCTCAACGAACTGGCTCTGGACCCTAAGCCAGAGCTGAAGGACAGCACAACGCTAGTTGAAGTGCAGATAATCCTCATCTTTGCTTACTGCTCCATTATCCTGCTGGGGGTGATCGGAAACTCTCTTGTGATCCACGTGATCATCAAGTTCAAAAGCATGCGCACAGTCACTAACTTCTTCATTGCCAACCTGGCTGTGGCTGACCTGCTGGTGAATACGTTGTGCCTGCCCTTCACTTTGGTTTACACGCTGCTGGGCGAATGGAAGCTGGGTCCGGTCTTGTGCCACCTGGTGCCGTATGCCCAGGCTCTTGCTGTGCATGTGTCTACTGTCACTTTGACTGTGATTGCTTTGGATCGACATCGCTGCATCGTCTACCACTTGGAAAGCAAAATCTCTAAGCGGATCAGCTTCCTGATTATAGGGGTTGCCTGGGCAGTCAGTGCCCTCCTGGCAAGTCCTCTGGCCATCTTCCGTGAGTACTCCCTGATCGAGATAATTCCTGACTTCAAGATTGTGGTCTGCTCTGAGAAGTGGCCAGGGGAGGGGCAGCTCAACTATGGCACCATCTACAGCATCTCCATGCTCCTGATCCAGTACGTGCTGCCTCTGGCAGTCATCTCCTACGCCTACACCCGTATTTGGACCAAGCTCAAGAACCATGTGAGCCCTGGGGCGGGGAATGACCAGTACCACCACCGGCGGCGGAAAACCACCAAGATGCTGGTGTGTGTGGTTGTGGTGTTTGCTGTCAGCTGGCTGCCATTTCACACTTTCCAGCTAGTCAGTGACATTGACAGTCAGGTATTAGACTTGAAAGAGTACAAACTGATCTACACAGTGTTCCATGTCATTGCCGTGTGCTCGACATTTGCTAACCCGCTTCTCTACGGCTGGATGAATAACAACTACAGGACGGCCTTCCTGACAGCATTCCAGTGTGAACAGCGGCTGGACTCCATCCATCCTGAAGTATCAGCAGCTTTCAAGGCCAGGAAGAAACTAGAAGCAAAGAGGATTCAATTCCCTGGAGACTCTTTCACACAACCTACCAATGTCTAGGATGTCTGAAGAAGAAATGAATATGTTGTGGACAAAGGGATATATCCATTTTGACACATGCATTTTTAATGCATCGTTTTATTCCTAATGGTGAAAGAAAAGTAGCAGGGAGTCAAGGGAGGTGGTATGATTTGGGGGGAGTGGATTGGCATCAAGAGTATGTAACTATACAAGTGCAAGGAAATAGAAGGGAGAGTCTTTGTTTATGGCTGTCTCTGACAGGGTAAGAGACACTCCCATCCCTCCCATCTCTTCTTGATGAGTCTAAATGACAAAGGCAGACTTTGCTGGCTTTGCTATGGGAAAGCAAATGGCTGTTTCATAGTGCAGGAGTATTGATGGTGGGAACAAGTAATTTTTATATTGGCTATGGAGAACAGGGAGAGCTGAAGTCGACCAGGAGAATGAAACCTGTGGGAGGGGAATGGGCTGTGCTGGTTAAAGCTCAGACTTTTCAGACCCCTTCTCTCCCACAGGCATCTTTTGCAAAGGTAAGAGAATTAAGAAGAGAAATATGTTACTGTTTTTTAACTTGTACTGAAGCACTTCATATCAGAGCATTTGAAATGGATTAGAGGAAAAAAAGAAAAAAAAAAAAAACAAACAACCCTACCCAAAAAACAGATTGAATGTGAAGAAAGATCAAATTTCTGCATAAAATGAAATGTGAGGTTTGATCAATCCAATGGGCTATTATGGTATTCCAAAACTATTGGCTGTGGTTATGCTGGTGAGAAAATCAGAAGCCTGTGACCTGACCAGCCATTCTCTGCAGAGCCCGTGCAGGGAGCTGCTCACAAGTGCAGTGCTTTAAAGTGGCATTTGAGGGCAGGGAATGCAGGCTCGGGTCTTCCATGAGCACTTCATAAACTGCCAATATTTTAATTTTCAGGACCTGCTTAAATGTCTAATGTGTTATTAACTCCGCAGGCTTTGAATTGTTGCTGCTTTTTTCCTGGATAATAAAACAGCAGATAATTTTGATCCTCTGGAAATGCTGCTAAATGGTAATGTGCTTTTCCTTATTGTGGTTTTATGTCACATGCTCATCTTGTCTTGGAGCTTTTTCCATCTTTAGCCTTTGTAAAAATTAAGAACATCTGAATGACTGTAACCTAATAACAGTATGCTAGGTTTATGTGATAACTTATCAGTTATTCTGCATGCTGTAGTTAATAGTTAAATTCTTTTTTTGCTCAGGTATAAAATTTTAATCTGTTTACTGTGTTGTACACAGCAATGTTCAACTCTTCTGTGTCTTTGTTTAGCCTCTTTGAACTCATTAAAGAGATGAAGAAAATATCAATCCGTGTTTATTCCAAGCTGCCCTCTTGCTTATCTAGAATAAAAATGTGTGGTACTTTCACTTGGAGTCTCTTTTCATGGCTACATTTCAGCTGCCTCATATTTACTGTACTTTTTTGGTTGTTCCTAAATTCATTATGTTCTCTCTTACAAATTAAAACCCAACAGAACTCCACTACTGAAGTGTTAACAATGTGATGAATGGTATCAGATCTGTATCAAGTGGAGAAATTCATCTTTGTGTATGCAGTATTTGTCACCATCCTTTAAATATCCATGGAATCATTTGGATTTAGATTTTCATGAACAGAGAAGGGAGGTCTAGAGAATTAGCTAGTGTTTACTCAGGCAGGAAAAAGTATCCATCATTCTTAAACAGTTTAACAAAAATAGATTAATTCTCAGCCATTTTGAGGGCATAATATTGTCCACAAGTTATTTTTGTCTGAGTATTAATAATATCCAAAACGTAAGCTCAAAACTGTTACGAGTGAGGAAGGATTACAGAAGTATGCAATTATTATGGACATCAATCACATGTATCAGTTTACAGTTGAGTCTGAGCCCTTCATCAGAAGTATTATTGCCACAAATAGCCTCCTTAAAAAGCAAATGGTTTAAAAGTTCTATTTCAACTCTTCTAAGCCTGTTACAGTGTGGTATACAGACAGTTTTGAAGTGACCATGACAGTCTGCTAAAACTACAATTGCTGGGCTAATTCTCCTTAATTTTAAGTGTGCTTTATGTCATCCTGTATGAAAGTGATTAATTACATATTATCTTTCAGTCTGTGTTATGGTATCTTGATTTTACTGCTTCCTGAGCTTTTTCTTCAGCTGTCATGTCGTACCGAAGTTGGTGCACTAATTTACTGCATTGCTTTCCTCTCTGCCATGTGGAGGTGATTCCTGGGTCAGTGCCCACTTCAGGGTCACAAACCTCTGCACGATGTCTCACTGCAGGCTGTGGATGTTCCCACAAGCACTTGAAGATGGGATGTGCCATCATCACTTGAAGAGCCATCACGTGCAGCCTGTCATGTGGCTTAGTCGCTCCTCAGGGCTTGGCTCCTGCACAGACACAGCTATGCACTTTAGTACCCCTTCATGTTGTAGGAAAATTAGATGTTTTCTCACAAAAAACAGAGGTAGCAATAGCCCTCAGAGTTGCCCCAAATCCCAGCTGTCAGAAGAATGTGGAAACAACAGGATTTGTGCCCATTTCCCCCTAACAGAAGCAGGCTCTAACCACTGGACTGAGGAGTCTGCAGGGGAGCCCTTGCTTTGCCTGAAATAGGAACCCAAATCTAGGTCTCCGTTCATCTGTTAGCGTTTTATTTATTTTTTTGTTTTTTTTTTTTTTTTTTTAAAGCATTATATTATTTTTCCCATTGAATAGACAGAAGTGTTATACAAAGCCAAAGAACACCATCAGTAACCCTCACTGAAGAATTTGCAGGCAGTTTGGGACCCAGAATGTAATGCCATCAGAGATTCAGGGCAAGAATTTGAACCAATATACCTCAGTTCTCAGGAGAGTGACCTAGACAGCACACTGCAGCCTCGCCCGAGGCAGCAACGTAGGTCTTAGAGCTGTTTTATTGTGTATAAAACAAATACCCACTGAATATAATGATTTTATGGGCAGGTGGTTATGACCTTTGTATGGCACTAAGGTTCCAGGCCAAAGATATCAGAACAGATACAGACAGAATCTAAGCTAGGCCCACCATGTCATTCATGAGTACTTCTACTATGAAAACACTGCAATCCAGGCAGGAGGAGAGCAGCACCATGCTAATCTCTGGGAGGGTCTTACTTTGTGCTCTTATTTGGGTCTGGCTTATAAAAGGGAGACCTATCCACCACATGGATCATATCAGAGTGGTCTAGCATGTTAGTTGCTTGGTGCTTAGTTCTGGGCCTGTCTGGATACATTTTGATGCCTTGCAAATTTTACTGGCAGAAATGTGTCTCCAGGCTTAGATGGCAGCAGTGTATTGGTTGAACAGCACAAAATTAGGCAAGTACAATTGCACCAGTGCTTTCTCCCAGGACTGGCTGGGCATAAGCCAGCTCAAGCCTGGAGGCAGAAGAGCTGCACTCATGCACTGTCCTGAGGCTTTGACACTTCCACTGTGGAGAAGGACCCAGCAGCTTGGGACCAGCACTGCAGACATGGTGCTCTGTAGCTTCTGGACAAGAGTTAAAAGTTGTGTTGCCTGTTCAGGGCTACAGCCACTGAACTACAAGGGGAGAAGTAACCATGAGTAAGCTTGCCAGGGTCTTAGGGGAGGCCAGTTGGGTTTTTGGTATGTGGAAACAGTGCTGAACCCTCTCACTTAGCCCCATGAATAAGTAGTTTTCACTGAGAATTGTTATCTCCATGCAGAGCAGCAGGCTATGACTGAGCAGAAAGTATATCACTGTGAAACCGAGAAACAAACAGATTTGAGAGCATAAGCAATTAAAATAGAGGGACTAAACCCAGACAACAAATGGCTTTAGTATACATATCTGTTTATATATAAATTGTATGGCAGAACGGTGCAAAAGATGTTCAGTAGGATTAAGTTTCCTGGAAATAATTGTGTGTTGCCCTACAGCTGGTATAACCATGTCTTGTATAAAATGTGTGATGGACATACATAAATAGCCAAAATATTAATAGGATAAAAAACACTAAGGGTAATAACTAAATGGAAAATATTATCTGCATTTTATCTGTCAGACCACAAAAGAAACAGTGAATTCACAGATTAGTATAATCCATTTCCTTGCTTCATAGTTTCTAAACTCCCTCAGGGATTTTTCTTATATTAATCCAGATAATGACCTTAAGGGATTAATTTTGTCTTTGGATCCTTGAGTTATTTACCTGATAGTGTCATTATAAATGCCACTTTACAATAAGGGAACTACTCTGTGCCAAATTACAGGTTCTTTGCCCTAAGAAGCTTGGAGATGCATGTAAAGCTATGCAAGGTTAGTGTTACATGCTTTTAATACCGCAGTAGAGATTCTTATTTATGCAATCAGTAGTGATTTTCATCTCTCTTAATTTAAAAAACCCACTGAATAGGAAGTTATTTTAAAAGAAAATACAAGGGTAGTGAGGAAATCTGAAATTGCTATAAAACTGGAGAAGTAAGAAAGTCAAAGATTGAAGGATTTCAATAAGCAAGAAAGAGAGTACAAGAAAGAGGCTAGTGAGGGTGTAACTGATTTATAGACTTTTCTTCTCTTTGAACAGTGAGAGAAACATGTTAAAATGAAACCAGGGCAAACGAAGACACAGATCAATTGTGTACACAAAGGACAGTGTTGCCTGGGGAAACTGAGGAACTTTGAGGAGAAATTTCCTGTGATCATTTGAGCCTTAAATTCACATGATGTTCTCAAGCAAGCAAAACTATGCTGATATATTATGTCACCTAACTGCAATATAGGTAAACAGCTCTGCACTGATAATGTATCAGAAGTAATGGATGTGTTATTAATTCTAGTCAGTACATGGGATGAATAATGCATACATACTCCTCATAAGCTCATTTCAGATGGGATATATGAAAAAAAGAAAAATTGGTGCTTTTGTTAAAATCTTTGTCCTCTCAGACTTCACTGAGCTCCTCTGAAAGGAAGGGAGCCTCAAGCTATAAAACTTCAAGACTATGGAATTACATATCTGATGGTGGAGGTGCAATATAGCTTGAAAAAAAAAAATTATTTTTCTTTTTTTTTTTTTGCTGATACTGCATAAGAGAAATAAGCTGTGCCTCACC